AATTTTCTTCCGATCGTCCCAAATCGTCCCGGGCTGATGAGCTGAATTTGTACTGATCGGCCAGGACGATATTCCTATCGTCCTAGACGATAATGTCGGCAGCTTGCATTAATGAGCTCATTTTTAGCTCTTCTATTTAAGCTTTGTCAAGGCACTTATTATGTGTCTTTGGGGGAAACTTGAAGAGAGAGCTTGAAAGAGAGAGAGGAAATGGTGGAGTTTGAGAGATAGAAGATCCTGTGAGGGGGAGGAACTTAAGGGAGTGTGGTGGGGGATCCACACGGTTGCTCCGGCGAACTCGCACCTTAGTACCATCGGATTCAAGGCTTGTCTCGAGGTAAGTTCACCAAAGAAGAAGATCTCCGGTGTGTTCTTTTCTTATTATCGCTTCCGCATTTATTTTAATTTCTGCACTTTGTTTGTGGTGATTTTGGATTTAGATTTATCTTTGGTTTTAAAATTTTCCAATTCACCTATCTCTTGGTTAGCTTGAGCCAGTTCTACAAGGCTTAACATTCTTAACGAACTTTCAAGTGGTATCAGAGCAAGTTTTTATAAAATAAGTTTTTAAAAGGTTTTGAATTTCAATCCATGGCTAATTTTTCAAATCGTAATGTTGCGGAAGGATATTCAATCACCAGACCACCTCCTTTATTTGAAAATATGTCATTTGATTTTTGGAAAACTCGCATGTCTATTTTCTTGCAATCTATTGATTTTCGCATGTGGCATATGATTTTAACTTGTTATTCATCACCGTCACGTATTGTTAATGGAGTTAAAACTGATATTCCTTTTAATTAATGGAATAGGGAAGAACAAGTAAATGCTCAATTGAATGCAAAATCTTTAAACTGGTTTTTCTGTGCTTTAAATTCTGATGATTTCGTGTTAGTATCCATGTGCACTACAGGTAAGAAAGTTTGGGATAAATTGCACACCATATACGAAGGCACTAGTGAAATCAAGCAATCCAAGTTGAATTTGTTAATGCATGATCTTGAATTATTTTCCATGAAACCTTTTGAAACGAACTTAGACATGTATACCATATTCATTCAAATTATAAACTCATTACATGCTTTAGAAAAAGATTTTTCAAATTTTGAAAAAGTCAATAAAATTCTTCATTATTTACTTGAAAAATTTGATGCCAAAGTTGTTGCTATTTGTGAATCAAAAAATTTGAATGATTATTCTATTGATAATTTGATTGGCTCACTCATTGCCTACGAGCAAAATTTGGGTCAAAGACTTTTAGATGCAGGTGAAACTATTGTTCTAAAAGCTGGAGATACAGAAAGAGATAGCCTAGTTGGTGACGAAGGCAATGACGTGTCAAGCAAATCACAAAGCTCACATAAGCATAAGCAAAAGTGGAAAAAAGGTAAAAGTGGTAAGTATGTCCATATTTCTTCTAAC